GACGCTTTTGTTCAGTGACAGAGAAGAGTGAAAGACTTCCTTGTTTGTATTCAAACCTAAATGATTCCCTGTGACACTACTTCTTCTCTTTTTATGTATTTGATAAAGGAAGACATATTTTCCCCTTGTACAAGAGGACTTCCTTCTCATACAAGCCGGACACATGTATATTTGTTCAGAGGGGGTTTGTTTACTTTTCAGGACCAGTGCCACTACAGACAGTTGTCTAAGGAAAACATGATTGAAACTGCCCTGTAGTTTTTGCCCCAGGTTGTAAAGAACCATCATTATAGATATGTAATTTTCGCATAATCCGTCAGCCGTGCGGGGCATGTCGTGGCAATGTAACTGCACAGGATAGAGGAAAGACAAACATGTAAATATAGAGAGCTAAAGAATGACCGGGGGCATATTTAGAAAGGTTTGCCTCTTCTATTGACATTCAGTTTGGATAAGTGTAAATGGAGAACACATTTACCAACTAACAAAGCAAACAGAAGTCTGGCAGCGAGCGGTGAGTTGCTTTTTGTTTTGGATGTCATGACAGTCCGTATCCAGGGTAGTTTTCCAAAAATATAAAAACAGAACTTTTAATGTGAAGCTGAATAAAAACTGAAGTCAGACTTCCAGTTATTGTCAGGAAACGGACTCTGTAATGCATCCTGTGTATTAATAACATCTGAGCTTCAATGATTCATTAAGTATTTAGGGCTGTGTTTGATAAATGTGTTCCCAGTAGCAACACCTTAAAGGTCCCATGTCATGGCCATTTCTACTGATCATATTTCCATTGTTGAGGTCTACTAGAATAGATTTACATTGTTCCAAAATCACATTGGTTTCTCATACAGCATCTCTGTATAGTATGTGTATTCACCAGGCATTCACTCTCTGTCCTAAACGGCTTGTTGGAGCTCCGCCCCCTCCTCCTCCATGTGAGCCCAGTGTGCTCTGATTGGTCGGGACGTTGCGAGGCTCGTTGCTGCTCGCCGCTGATGCGAGGAGCGGACAGGTTTCCGGGTCGGCGATACAGCGAGACACAGCGAAACTATATATAATATATATTGGTGTTTTAAGTACTTTGTGTAAATGCTGTACATTCCCTTCAGTAAGGATCATTTCTCTGTCTTGTGTAATTCGTTTTTTCTCAATTTCCTTATATTTTATTGATCAAACATTTAGTTAAGTAAATATTCTAAATGGAGTGTCTAATGTCACCCCTCATCAAAGCTTACAGTCCTATTAAGTGCTTCCAGGAGTCATGAGCAGTTTTAAAAACAGATATTTTTCTCGACTTCGTCTCAAATAAAGCAATTTTTAGAGCCTCAAGAAGTAGAATATTCAAGTATGCCATAAAAAAGGCAAACTAAGATGAAAGCATAAACAATTTTAAGTTGAATGGTTTGTTGTTTTAGGAAATACACTTAAGCTCTTATCTGAAAGGAGTCTGTCAATTTCACATGTGGCCGAGGCCAAGAAATAGTTTGCAACACTACGGATCGTAAAAAGTTGAAAGATATTATTTTGGTCTGCATTAAATATTACAAATAAATAATGTGTAAAATGACTGAGCTTTGGAGTTGCTAGGCAGATTTAAACTGAGAAATGCTAGTTGTTTCCTGTAGTCTTTTTGCTCACTGGTTTTAATGAGACATGAGATGGATGATGATCTTCTAATCTTACTTGGTAAAGAAAGCGAATAAGCGTATTTAAATGCTTTACTATTCCTGACCCCTTTGATTAATCTTAGGACCAGCTGGGGGGTCCGAACCACAGCTTGGGATCCACTGCTCTGGAAGTACATAATAATATGGTCTGTGTGTTATGAAATGCGGTTGATAATAAGGTTGTACGTGCCTTACTGTACTCGCTGATCTGTCAGACTTTGGACTCCACTACTGATGAGTCAGTATCCAAGGCAAAGACAAAACAAAACACTCTTACATGAGATCTGTTAATGGGAAGTAAATATAGCAACAGTGCCAAGTGTTTAGCCGGATGTGCACTTTGACCCAGCCACACTAACCCGACGTAAAGGCTGTAATAAGGCTGAATGACCTACTGTCACGTACTGTCTGCCAGCTATGTGTGGGCTGCAGACACTCAAAGGTTACACATAAATCTCAAGGTTGAACACTCAGCTATACGCTCTTTAACCCAATATTATTCCACAGTCTACACAGGAGGATGGAAATTTCCCGACACTTGAGGAATACCCTGCTGTAAAGCCAGCCCGGACCACACACTGAGTACCTGGTGTTTTTCAACAAACTATTCCAGGTTTTCTGTGGGAGGAAGTCCCTCAAACACTGCGGCTGCACCTATAAGGAAATACCTTTTCTCCAGTTACTGTCTCAAAGTGACTCATCAGCTATTTGTACTTCACAACTGATGCTGAAAGACTTCACACGCATACGATTAAAGGGGCACTTTGCGTGCCAGAGAGGGGAACGACCTGTGTTTGACGTCAGAGTCGTGATGCGACACGAGAGGATTCCCTCTGTTGCTAGGCGACGGGGGTAAACACGGGGGTTCCTCGTGGCACACCTGTGTTTGAAGTCTGCCACGCTGTCAGATCGCTACCTGTTGCTTCATCACACTGTTTAGTAACCATAGTTATTTTCCATTGACAATAACTGCACAGAGGCATCTGCAATAAAATCTGTAACTATAGTGAAACGTTGGCATGGTAACCAAATACCTATACAGGGGAAAGGTGAAGGTTTTTATTTCACCTGTCGAAGCGTGACAAGCTTCATTTATCTTGCATCAGGTTAAAGGGAGTCCCTACAGGTGTATAGGAATACATATTAACTTATTTATATCACCATGAAACATCCCCACTGGTTTAAGTTATTTGAAATAATGTTTAAATATGCAAATGAGGCATTACCCGATTAAACATTTGTTAACTTGCATTATATTTCTGGAGCATAAATCTGAATATTTGATAAAGAACAGCATTAAAGACTCTTTTTTGACATATTAGTTTTTTTTATAGTAGGAGTATTAGGATTATCTTTGTAGTACTCCAACATTTCATTTGTGCACACTTGTCTAATGTTTAAAGTATCCTATGTTTATATTTGAGCTGTTGTGGTTTAGTATATTATAGTCTATTCTCACTTATAGACAATAAGTGAGAGAATAGCCATAAAAACTATTTTTGCCACGGTTGTTTTAGAAATTAAATGTCATAAATCAGCCCATGTATGACGCATTAACAACGCTGTGTTAAAACAGACTGAACAGTGGTGGAATGTGATTAAGTGCATTCACTTAAATATTGTACTTTAAAGTTGCATTTTTAGGCAGTTTAATTTAATAGAGTGCTTCTTTACTTTGTATTTATTAAAAAGCATAATGTGACTATTGCAGAATGATGATAGCTACAGGTTAAGCAATATAGTTGAACTCGACAACAAAGAACTGCTCCCACATCGGGGCAGCTGTATGTATGTATAATATGGACCACTTCTCCTTCACATGATAATGATCTTCTTCATATTTCTCAAAAGTTCACACCACTTTTACATAAATGAAGAACTGTGTCTTTGAAAAACATGTTATGATAACCCTGCGGTTAATCATAGATAAAAGAATACATATTTATGGTAAATATTTGCAAACATAAGAGAGGATGCTTGTGTTTTGCTGTAACCGAGCCTTCTGTAAGCAGTCCGGCAACATGAGGACTGTCAGGTCTCCCCTGTCGTTCCCCAGAGGTTGAGTATACTTCATGAATGCAACCTTCTCATCATGAGCCAAATACTATATTCACATGCTCTGCCAAGCATCACAGAGACTGTTCCCCGGTGAGGGAGCGCTGTCTGCTCCACCAACGGCTGGGCAGTGGGGATTTTATGACTGAGTTAGAGATCATGTTAGTAGCTGTTGTAAAAGTGCCTGTATGTTATGCAGCAGAGCCCTACTGACACCAGACTGATCAACAAGATGATGCAGACGAGATCAAATGTAATCTAGTCTGAGTAGGTTAGCATTCTCATACCTGTCATTCAGATCCCTGCTGGATAGGACAAGTATGTACAGGCAAAACTGCACTGTAAAGCGGGCAATCACTCAGTTCAGTGAGCTCACTTTGCTTTTCTCCAAATGCAGCAGATTTACTGACTTGTTTTCTCACACTGTCTCAATTACAGACAGGAACATTCTGCCTGAAACCATGTATTATTCTACTTTTTGAGATGTTATCTCAGAAATGTCCATGTGCTGCTGAAAGAAACAAAAAAGAAGATGCAGCTGATGATAAGAAACATAACAGCTTGCATGTTTCAGTTAAAGGCGGGTTCACACTTTACTTTATCTTGATGACTATCGGGACATCGCAAGCTGAATTACATAGCGTCATCTTTTTTTTACTCTAACCTCTGGTTGGTGTTCAACAAAAACAGGTGCTTGAAAGAAGAATTTAAAATTTCTCACAGCAACACCAATGATAGAAGTCCATCGTGAGTAAAAAGGACAAATCTGGCATTTCAGGTCATAGTGACATTCGGCACCTGCTATGAGTGAGTCACACGAATAGAGAGTATCACAATCACCTCACAGGACAAACCTAAGGAATGACCTCATGCAGGGCCACTGCAGTCTGGCTTGGCACGAACAATAGCTAGTCTGTGCAGGTCCATCCTACTTTTCTCTCCAGCATGTCTGCGACCGCTGACCACAGCTTGAGTCACATCCTTCCCTGCTTTCCTGCGTGTTTACGGAGTGCCGGCGCTCAATAGCCTATGATTTCACGGGCCTTCAGTATTAAGAGTCACAGTGTTTGCAAAGACCTCCAGGACGGGATGGAAAGAACCATCCAGGGTTTGCTACAAACCACAAGCGTGATACAGGAAACCCCCTCCTCTGTCTCTCTCTCTGCAGAGTTTTCCACTCCATTCAGCATTCCTCTTTGTGGGACAGGTGCTCGCAGACGACAGCTAACTGTGATGACTGCAGTGACATCACACACAAAATGACGCAGGGCAGCGATGGAACAGTTTTCTCTAAATAGACATTTAATGATTTAAAATGTGTGGCTACAGACGGGGAGAAGGGGAACATGTTTTGGGGATGGAAAAGAGGGATTTTTAACTGGTACTCTGTTGACCGCGCGACATAAACTTCATCTTTTCTGCAAAGCTGAATGGCAGAGGAGGCAAACGGATGAAAAGCAAAACAGCCGTGCTCTGGCATGTATCAATGGCATCACATTGAGGTGATAAAAACAAAAGAAGCATTTAAATGTACAATCGTTGAACATATAACACTGAAGTTCATTAACATGTAACAAATATATACAGATAATCAACAAATAGGGATTGTGGCAGAACGAAGCAGCTTCATGTCAAACTCAGATTGACAAAGAGTGTTATTGTGATTACAGTAACTTTGAAAGAAAAATGTGTAACATACTCTTTTAAACCTTTTGACCCATTGTGAAGGATTGTGTGCATCTCTCTGCTGTATGTGTTGGATGTAAACATTACTCCTGCTCTTCTTGGCCTTGCTCACATTATGAGCCACAGTAGTAACACATAATCATTGTTTCTCCTTTTTTTAAACTGAAGGCTGCATCTAATATTTGCACTGATCGGAAATCAATAAAACTTTAACAAATACAAAAACTAAACAAAAGAAAGAAAGTCCTGTGGTCTCATGACTGACACCTGCCATTGATAGCGCATTAGCGGCCCCTCTCCGCCCCCTCTGATTTCCACCTGCCTACTGCCGGCGGAGGCGCTGCCTACTGGGTCCGGAGCTGGTAATCTGAGGAGGAAATGGACAAAGACTTAATCAAATGTACAAAAGAAAAAGAGAGAATCGGAGAGAAATCAAGTGTAGGCAGCTGAAGCTTTCCACCCAGAATGAATGGAATACAAAGGAAATGAGATGAGGATGTTTGGCAATTAGTGGCAACATTAGCAAAAAGACCAGCATGTGCAACCTTGGTAAATCGCTGTTAAGATCACGGAAGCTCGACACAAAAAAAAAGGTCAATTTCTCACATTTTGCAGGACGTTGCCACATTGCCTCATGTTCTACACTGTATCCCCTTTTCATAGAATCGCACCGGCTGGTTCCCACCACATTGCACTGCCTTGCCCAACTGTTGCCTAAGATCTGCACATATGGGCACTGAACTCTTAACCTACCTCCATTTTGGGTGATGTAGCGCACCCACGGCAGGGCCTGGTATCCACTCTTCTCAATGATCTTCAGGTAACGCACCTGAGGAGGGAAAACAAAGGGTTATGAACGAGAGGAACAAGTGTCTAGACTTTTATTCAAACACTAAATTCAAGCTGTTTTTAGGTTAGGACTTCATTGCATGAGATGATGCAAGTTGCTGCAATGTAGTGTGTTCTTAGGGTGCATTCACACCTAATAGTCCGCTCTCTGGTGCGCACCAGACCACAGTTTGTTACATTGTTTCATTTTCCAGAAGGTTCGGTTTGCGTTCACACGGGCAAAACTCAAACGGACTATAAACTTTAAACACAAGTCATGTGCACGGAAATGCTGTTCAACCATTGGTCAGACATTAAGGGGGTAAAAACGCAAATCCCGACCATTTCTACCGGAGCCTCCGCCATGGAGCATCGGCACTTTCGGCAGGTTATTCCTCATGCTGCTGTTAATCTGGAGATCAACAGACACTAGCGGCCCGCGCATATGATTATATAATCTGACAACGTCCGTTAAAAAACATTATAACACATATAATGAGACGTTCTGCAGTAAGGAGGGGCGTTTCACCGACGACAGGTGTTCTTACTTTTATGTAGCTGACGGAGAAAAACAACCGCGGAAGTCTTTCAAGACATCCGCGGTTGTTTAGTGAAAGAGTGAAGCAGAATTAAGTGTTGAACAGTGTCGTGTAAAGTAAAAATGCTCCGTCAACTACATAAAATTAAGAACACCTGTCGTCGGTGAAACGGACGTTTTTTAACGGACGTTGTCAGATTATATAATCATATGCGCGGGCCGCTAGTGTCTGTTGATCTCCAGATTAACAGCAGCATGAGGAATAACCTGCCGAAAGTGCCGATGCTCCAAGGCGGAGGCTCCGGTAGAAATGGTCGGGATTTTCGTTTTTACCCCCTTAATGTCTGACCAATGGTTGAACAGCATTTCCGTGCACATGACTTGTATTTAAAGTTTATAGTCCGTTTGAGTTTTGCCCGTGTGAACGCAAACCGAACCTTCTGGAAAATGAAACAATGTAACAAAATGTGGTCTGGTGCGCACCAGAGAGCGGACTATTAGGTGTGAATGCACCCTTAGTGTAAGTCATTTGTTGAAGTTATTTGCCAAGGTAAAACTAACTTAACCTAAACATTTTCCATCTGTAGTCTAAATGTATTGCATGCAGGGTCACAGAGGTCTGGGGCCCCTCCCAGCATGCACTGGGAGAGCCAGGAAACAGGTTGCCAGTCGATCACTGGGCTTACACATACAGACAAACCAAAATATAAATACGTTCCCAACAACGGAAAATGTGAGCAAACAATTTATGGACTTTTAGCTGCAAGTCTTTGCTCTGTGGAAAAAGAAAAATGGATTGACTGCACACAGGCACACGGAGAAAAGCAAACAACATCCATAAAGAGACCCCAAATAACTGGCGACAACGCAGTTGTACCTCAAGTTGTACCTCATTCTAAGCAGGTTTAGAGTATTTAGTGTGTTTAAACAAAAATATCTAAGAGGGGTTGGAGCATTGTGCAGTTTAATTGTCTATGAAATAGTATACTTATTCATTATTTTGACTTCTGAGGCGTACATATCCCTGCAAAGGACCTTTCTATTATTAATAGCTAATACTCAATATTAAAAGTCACATTTTCAGGGGCATACGCCTTTACGCATGCAGAAAGCTGTAGTAAGAGTGGTGTTGTTGATGAGGAAGTTGGCAGTAGTAAAAGTCACACTAAAAAGAGGGAAGCAGATACAGAACAGCTTTCAAGGCACTCACAAAGCGAATTTACATAACTGTTTTTCGGGGGCCTGGATGTGAAAAAAAAAAGCACATCAGCATTATCAAGATACAACTTTCACAAGCCATTAACTGATATTTCGCCAACCCAATGTTACGACAGAGCTGAATTACGAGAAGATGTGCTAAAAATATCCTGTCATCCTGTGCATCACTCGACATGATAGCACATTGTGTTTTACCAGTCATGTGGGAGAAACCTGTTCAAACTTATCTCACTGTAACAATCTGTCCATGGTGGTAAGATGTAAAGCAACATTTATTTAAAAATCATTTCCAGCAATTCACCATATTTAAACTGTGAACTTACTTTTCTGTGTTAAATCATTCATCTTGTCATCTGTGCAATTCAGCTTAACAATGTGTTAATGTTACCATGTTACTTTTTTTTAAAACCCTACTATTTTTTCCAATGATGTACTTATGTTTATATTCTAACTAATGTGTGCTTGTCTTTTTATCTAATATGCAACGCTACCTTTTATTTTTTAATGCCTTTTATCTGCACTGTACCTTTGCTGCTGTATCGCCATAAAGTGTGGCAGCAATAAGTCACTCCGCACTACAAAAAGAAAATGACAGACATATCATCCATCCTTCAGTGTGCTCCTTTAGGAATATCCTTCCCACAACATTCCTGCATTTTTGCTAAATAAAGAATAAATACAAAGTCCTGTGAACAAAAAATGAGCAGGAGTGCAAGCACGGACATTTTAAGGGCTGACAGGACCCCTCTCTAAGAGCCGTGCCGTGCCGGTTCCCAGCTGAGAGCCGGACAGACACGGCAGGACTCTGTGGGCCGCCTTGTTATTACCTTCCACTACAGAGTGAGGTCAGAGAGAGCGACCGCGCGGCCACCAGACACATGACGACAAACACATAGACTTGAGATCACAGAGTCTGCCGGCACAGCACTTCTCCCTGAAGCAGGCGGCCAACGTGCCGTCGAGCTGACCGTGGGTACGCAGTCAGCAAAACGGCATCAAAAGCCATCCCTCCGCAAAATATCATTATGGCTTGTAAGATGAGAAGGGGAAAAGGAGGATGTTTGCTGTATCTTGTTTGGTAAGTACAGACTACATGTGTGGTCTGGATTCTTAAAGCATTTAGGAGAAGTTTGTCCCAAAAAGCTACATGTACATGTCTTGGTGTTCCTCAGCATCACCTAAAGACAGGAGATTTGGAAAAGACTTTTATTTGAACTGAAAAGTGTTGGGCTACTCCATTTCTAGTTAAATGTCTTAAGGTACAGTTATGTGCATCACACACACTTCACATGTGCTCTCCCCTACACTTTGTGGTGGAGTTAAGAGCAACTTTCTCATGCTTTGATATTTACATGTGTCTAATTAAGCTTCACGGCCTCTTCTCACACGTACGAGTGGTGATACTGGCTGCATTAGAGCCTGAGAGCCAGTCTGCCCTGTAATAAAGAAAAGGTTAAGGGCCTAGTGCAGCAGTTTGATGGGAATATGGCTCTTAAAATGTTGCCTCTGAGACGGTGGGCGCACCACAGTGTGATTGCAAACACTGAGAGTTTTTATGCATTTGGCTTGACAGACAGATAAACCGTGGAGACCTGCAACAACATGGGAACTAGTGAACAGCTCAAACTACAGCAAACGTATTTTAGGTTGAACCCAGTGAAAAACATTATATGGCATCTCAAACTAGTTTTTTTTTTTTACTAAAAATGAAATGTAGGGCCTAAACTTTACATGTTCATATCAATTGTAGTTAAGTTGTCACATGTTTTTATGACCTTAATAAAACATCTCCCCATGGAGCAATGGAGTTTAAGAATATGAAGATGTCTTGGCTTCCAAGTTGATACAGATTTAACATAAATCAATCTTGACATTTATCCAGGTTTTTATCAAGGAAGCTATAAATTAAATGGATTCTCTGTTGTTTATTACATAGGTTTAATTTTTAATTTTATTTAGGTTTGTCTAGTCAGAGGTGGGAAGTACATTTACTCAAGTACTGTAGTTAAGTACGATTTTGAGATACTTGTACTTCACTTTAGGATGTCCATGTTTTGCTACTTTGTATTTCTACTCCACTACAATTCAGAGGCAAATCCTGTACTTTTACTCCACTACATGTATTTCATTAAAAAAGTTTTAGTTAATTTACAGATTTGGATTAATGATGTGAAATATAATCAACTCTTAAATAAGACTTTAGTTAAACCTGGAGTGAATTCATAATCTACTCAGCAGTATAGTTATTAAAGCTAGCTTTACCAGCTTTAATAACACTTTAATGATCAATAATAACAATTAAAACATATGATATATATTATTCTGAAATGTACCGATCTGCAAGTACTTTTACTTTTGGTACTTTAAGTATATTTTGATGCCAATACTTTTCTACTTTTAATAAATGTATATACGCTTGAATAACTTAACCTTGAGTAACAGAGTATTCCTACATGCTGGTACTTCTACTTTAACTTAAGTACAAGATGTGAGTACTTCTCCCACTCTGGTTCTAGTCGGCCTAATCAACAGAATGATCAATTAAAAGGTCAACAGGTCTGATGTCTTTGCATGTTTGAAATCATCTTATATTAATGTGGTTATTTTTTTCGACGATTACCACTAAGCACATCGCATTTCTGCTCAAAGGGTGTGTCGAGATTGAGGGGAACAGAAAAATACTCAGCTTTCTTGTGTTTGAATACAAGCAAGCAATGGTTTGTTGAAAACCACAAAAAGAGGATCTATCGACCAAACAGATGAGCAAGTCAGATCCAGTTCTAGAGATGACATTGTGGATCATTTTCTGTTTTCATATTAACTTGAGTTTGATTCACTTATCTATTATTTTCGATTATGTTGTGCCAAATATCTAATAAATGGCTATTTTCCAAAACACAGAGGTGTGAGTTGCTTAAAGTGCACGTTAAATATCAAAGAAAAGCCATAATTGTACATTATGACCAACTTGAAGCTTTAATAAATACATTATTGAGAATATTGAGAACATTTATTTTATATTAGTGCACAATAATTGCAAAAAGCTACTCCCCAAAAAAAGCAATGTAACAACAAGATTTTTATAAACTCATCAGTAGAAATATCATTCATAAACAAAACTAAATCTTAATTTAAAAAATACTATTACTGGAATGTTGGACATGTGTTTATCTCATGGGTATGAACAAGACATGCGACACCTCCAGTTGTCTCGGCACTATGACTGGATGCACTTTCTTTTATTCCAGCATCGCTTCATTTTTGGATTGGAAATATGGAAGAGGCAAAAAGAGATGAGTTCTGACAGCTGCCAAATTAAAATGGCCAGAATGCATGTTCTGCCAAACACCACCCCAATTAAAAGTATCACATATTTCAATTATCTTGGGTTCAAGCTTCTCGTTTCCGAGTGGGCTGCGTAATGTCCATACGACTTAATGAGGTTTCATTAAATATCATCATAGGAAATGTGGAGAAGCTGGAAAATATGACTTTTTCGATGAGCTTTGTACAGAACGCAGGGATAACGTTAAGAAGTAGATACAGTGTGTTTAAAGGAGAGATTCAGGCCTCAATCAGCTGAAAACAACACATTTAAAGAGCTTAATGTTAAACAAATATGCAATTCTTTACTAAAGTAAGAGTTTATATTCAATGTACTAATTCTTACTGTTATAAACCATGGCTGCTCAATAACAAGTTACTTTACAAATACTTATTTTATTGTTATTTCTTGAAGTTATTACTCAGTTCTGCTTATGAAGCTTAACCTACCATGACCATATTCTGCAAATTATTTGAGGCAGTGACATCTATTACTTGTGTTTCGTCCCTTAAAACCTGGCATTTTATTTAGAGCACTGTTTTTTACAACTTGTGGATTTAGCATCACATCTTGCTTTCAAAAAATGCAGCACAATGTCAGATAGGTTGGGGTTATTGTAACACTGAGGGAGATGTATGCAAATGTACCTATGGAAAACTAAATGTTTGTTTTTTGGGCAATAATATGATATTTTCAAATGGAGTTTGTCAAGTTGCCATTGTTTCCTCACATCAGGACATGGGAAAACTGAATTTTGTGTTTCTGTGGTGCAACACGTATAATCACAGGACAACTGTGATTATACAGTCAGAGCAGCACATCTGTGTAAGTCTGCGGTCAGCAAGTTTTCATTCAGACATGAAGAAAAACAGTAGCTTCTCTCTAAGTGTCATGGGAATCACAATCAAATTCCAATTAATCTACTTACCTGTAAATAAGAATGACATTTTCTATCATTGTGTTGAACACAAATGCAGAGGCCAGTGTAAACTGATGAGCAGTTGCTTTCTGGATTGATCAACAGTAAGAAAGAGAGAAGCGCTGTTTAAAAGTGCCCTTACTGCCCCCTCTGGCCAAAAACAGGATGCAAATTGCTTAAATTCTTTAGAGACATCGTTTGTATGAGAGACAGGGCTATATATTATAAATCCAGGATGACAAGGAAACAACTGACAACCGCAAGATATGTGCACTATGCAGGCCTTTGTGATAGTAAAACTGCGAATGCAGTAGCATTTGTTTGCACCTGCTCCCAGATGGTTTACTCTATAGGAATGATAAACACAGCTTGGATTGTAAACAGTCTGTGCATTCTCCTGTGATAAACACCTTTCTTTTTAAATAAAATGTTGTCTTAAATCTAATACAAGGGAAATATATGTTCACCTTATCTTAGATCTGGACGCATGCTGCTGCAAGTAGGTCAGACAAGTGAACTGACAGACACTCTGTGTTTGACAGAGGTCGTGTGTGTGTGTGTGTGTGTGTGTGTGTGTGTGTGTGTGTGTGTGTGTGTGTGTGTGTGTGTGTGTGTGTGTGTGTGTGTGTGTGTGTGTGTGGTGTGTGTGTGGCCCTAGCATTACTATACTTGTGGGGACCTAAATCTGTTTACACAGTCACGTGTGGGGACTCGCCTCCCTTATGGGGACAAATTGGAGGTCCCCATGAGGGGAATCATTAATTTTAGGGTGAAGACTTGGTTAGGTTTAGGATTAGGGTAAGGGTGAGGTTAAAGGTAAGGGTTAGGGTTAGGCATGTGTTGGTTAAGGTTAGGCTCCAGGAAATGCATGTAAGTCAATGTAATGTCCCCTTAAGTGATGTATACATGGTGAGTGTGTGCGCGTGCGTGTGCGTGTGTGTGTGTGATGTACCTGGATGCCGGAGGTGGTGAAGTATGGGATCTCAAACTTGACACTAATTGGTGGCTTCCCCTCCTTGTCTTCAGCCTCTACGCTCGGCAGACCAAAGTGGGCTCGCATCAAATACTCCTTTCCACCCTGTGAGAAAACAAAGCAGAAACTCTATCAAACAACACTCTGGAAACCTCTTGTGTTTAACACTAAAAGGAATGACTTAATATAAACATGAACAGTAGAAAATCTGACATTTTTCTCCACCAGGAAGTCACGAAAACATCCAAACTGCAAACTAAGTTCTTACGTATTGCAAAAAAAGCCAGACATAACATCAGAGTCATTTTTAACCCTCTGTATGATACTGATGAGTCATGATTTCAGCTCACAGGGAAGGACTTGATTGACCAGACGATCTCGCTGTTCTCAGGCACCCATTTCACGCTGCCCACTGTGGTCTTGAATTTGGGTGAGTCAGCGTCCGTTGGCACAGGAATGTGGATCTCCACGTTGTTCGCCGTGGAACGCCTCTTGAACTGACTCTTCGCCTGAGCGGAGAAACAAGAAAGTCAAGTTTAACACGGTGCCCCGCCTGAACAGGGCTTTAATTATAATTAATTCATTATAACCTAATTATAGTATTAAATATGTACATGTACAAACATGCCTTGACCCAGTGTGAACTGCATTACTGTCAAATAAATATCTTCTCTCCAAATAATTATAGCACAAAGGTTTGACAACAATAAAGATGTTGCTATAAATTACATGAGTGCAAAAGTGACCTGCCTTGATCATGTACTCGATACGACTGTGGGAGTGCTTCTCAATGACGGACTCAATCCAGATCAAAGGCTTCACCTGAAGATATAAAACACACGTGTTATCAAAAATAGTTTTAAGAGCTTTAGTACAGTCAACATGCATGCATTTTCAAATATCATGTGACACTGTCACCACCTGGTGGAAAGCAGACGTTACTACAACTTTTTTAAACTTAAAGGTCCCATGTCATGCTTTTCCGGTTATTACCCGTCCCCTTGTGTGATATGCAGACTAGTAAACGGTCTGCAGAGTCACAAACCCTCCAAGTACACCCTGTAGCGAGTAAAACTCTAACACAGAAAAGACCTGTCTATGCTGCCCCAGAACGCTTCGTTGGAGATTTCTCTTTTTCTTCCTGGGTACGGTACAGTACACACACACACACACACACACACACACACACACACACACACACACACACACACACACACACACACACACACACACACACACACACACACACACACACACCACACACACACACACACACACACACACACACACACACACACACACACACACACAACACACACACACACACACACCACAACACACACACACACACACACACACACACACACACACACACACACACACACACACACACACCACCCACACACTACACACACACACACACACCACACACACACACACACAGCACACACACACACACACACAAACACACACACACACACACACACACACTACACACACACACACACACACACACAGCTCCACCACCACACACACACACACACACACACACACACACCACACACCACACACACACACACACACACACACACACACACACACACACACACAAACACACACACACACAACACACACCCACACACACAACTGTGATGTGCTACAGCCCCCTCAGCACCCCCCCCTTCCTGCGTCCATTCGCGATGTCTCGCAGACCCCACGCAGCAAGCAGGAAATGAACCCAGCTCACAGCAGCGAGCCGTGCAACGTCCCGCCAACACGGCACCCAGACCCCACGCAGCATTCTCATCTGTTTGTCATTACTGGTGTCATTTTCTGGTTGCTAACGCCATTGTAACACAATCACTGATGTTCTGCTGTAACAGTGGTGGACTCATCAGAACAGAGTGGGCGAGCTGACCAATCAGAGCACAGTGGGCTCATAGGGGGGGTTTGGAAAATTGCACAATATAAATCTATTCTAGTAGACCTCAACAATGGAATTATGATCAGTAGAAATGGCCATGACATGATTTAAGACCACAGAACGTTTTTTAAATAGATGTCACCAAATACTTCTGAGATTTCATATCAAAAATATAAAACAAAAAATTGTATAAAAAGATAGTACAAATCTACTTCCCACGCATTTTTAAGACTTTGAAAAAAAAGAAAAAGGTAAGGCCTTGTTTTTTTTAATCCAAAAGTGATGGATTTAAAGATTTGTTATGAATTTGTGGGGGTCACCGGATAGCCTGTGTAGTTTTGCAACTTGTGCTAAGAGTATGGACATACAGTATGAAACTGGCCTGGACAACATTTTTGAATTAAATACTGATAATGATATTAGGGAAGTGCAAAAAACCTGACAACAATAAATCAGTCGATTAGAAGAAGAACTAATCGTTGAAAATAAATAACAATCTTTATCTAATCAATGGGTGTCTATTTTATAATTGCGACCAGGATACAAACAGATATTTTACAGTTTAATGAGAACTATGTAACTTCTTTGTTGTGTTTGATGCCACTCTGCTTTGTTATTGTTTGTTGTTTGGTCAGGGGAAAGAGGCGTTAGAACAGGTAACAAGCAACTCTAAGTCATACGATTTATTTTATGAAGAAAACCAGGAACTAAATGTTTCAATGTGGTTGGTCACTCAAAGAGAGGCTTCTTTGGAAGCACATTACATTGTTGCTACAACGACAGAGAGTACTACTTCCCTTCTCACAAGCTTACTGGCAATCCTGTTGTGAAACATTTATTGAAAATGTGATGCTGATTTAAAAATGTTAACCTAAAGTGCTTGTTGATAGCCTTTCCCTTTTTCTCTTTGCATATGATAATCCAATTACTATCATGAGTAAGTTGGTTGTTGTTTTAGAAATGTCCCCTCTTTCAGAAAAGGCAGGTTTGGCCGAGATGTCATTGCTTTCATTATTTCCAGGTGAGAAGTGTTCTGTATAAATATGTACTAACTGACTGTGCCTTCAAACAAAGTTGTAAGTATCATGACCCAATATAAGCTTTGAAAAGGCCAATTTAGGTTTCTTAAATATTACCGACAAACCAGGGGGGGACTGGCTGTCAGGAATAACAAGAGTCATCCTGGTATGCTGCTTCACAATTGTGAAAATAAATAAATATGAAACATGAAATACTACATTTAGTCATCGTTTATCTACTATGGACCCGATTCAATTGTGGTTAAAGTGAAATGCTGCCATATTTCCAATAAATGTTTGACCACTGATATTGCAATAACAGGGCCTCAGGCAAAACAACATATGACAGGACAAGCTTTCCAAATAAACATGTTTTTTTATGAATCATTTCAAATGCTTGTCTCTTAGACTGACAAAGTGTGCACGTAGCACACTATAACAACTAGGATAGCTTAGGGATCTTTCCATGTTACAACAATATTTGTGAAAACTGCTGTCCAGATTTAAAATTGATTGATTTATTATTGTAAAGCATTTTTTCTAGTGTACATGTGTGTAGTGAATTCTATAAACTCACAGATTTAATTTGACGTAGTAAAGAAGGTTGACATGTTACAAGCTTAACTTGAGAAATGTGCCTTGTACTTGATTCATTTGTTGCTTTGCTGGCTTGTAAGGCATGCAGGACAATGTATTATATTCACAAACAAGTACCAGCTTGTGGAGGGATTTGCTGCTTGGCGAGATCTATTGGTCCTGCTGGTGGATTAGAGTGGGGATCTAGAGTACTCACGTGAGTGTTGAGGCGGTAGGACATGAGTTCAAACTCTCCATCGGGAGGAATGAAGGAGATGGTGCGGTCGTTCTCAAAGCGAGATAGACGGACACACTGGTGAAACTTCACATCCTCTAGCTCTACAGATTTACTCTTTCCTCCTCCAAGAAAACATAAGAGAGAATAGTGAAAGGACAAAAAAATAAGAATACTTGCATGGAATGAAAATACAAAAGTTATGCAGACTTCATATTTTTGGGCTTTTAATCATTGTGTTTTTCCAATAAGCATGAGGTAGTATATATGATGTAGGACAGGGGTGTCCAAACTATGGCCCGGGGGCCAAATGCGGCCCGCAGACCATTTTGAAACGGCCCTCACTCAGCAAATTAAAAAAGTATAATGACTTAAAAATAATAAACTTCTGTTTGTCTTATATTGTACTTCTTAAATATATATGTTCAAATATATTACACAGTATTCATGTGTTAACAGGCCAATTTTCTAATAAATTCAGTCGATTAAAGTTGAAAACATGTTCTAACAAATCTAAGTTGATAAGAAAAAAGCCCAATAACAAATTAACATAACATTGAAATCTACCCTTCATATTTCCTCTTATTATAAGCAATCTGAAGCTCCTGTTTTAGGGATTAGCTGCCAACAAAATAAACGAAACCCTCTGGAGAGCTGTGAGCTGTTTTTTTCTTAAAGCATTTTCAAGTATCAAGAATAATTGACCTACATTGGTTTGACTTTTCCAACTTATAACAGAACTTATGAGGCAAAATACCTCTAGTGAGTGGCCCAGCCCTTCTTATATTTTTCTGTATGTGGCCCTCTGTGAAAAAGGTTTGGACACCCCTGATGTAGGACAAAGTGTACCAGGATGAACCGTGCAACTGTCACTACTATAGTTGGAAAGGGTCATTCATCGTCATCAAATGTTCCATCAGGCAGCTCCTCCCACATCCCAAATCATGTGTTAACACAATATGACCAAAGTCTGTAGCTAGGAAATTACTCACTTCCAGTATTTTCAAACAGAACCTTGTCATTAAGGCCGAGCCGCAACTCAGGCATTCCCGACAGGAAGACACGCATCTTGATGGAGCCGACGATCTCACTACGCAGAACATTGCCATTGGCACTAACCTGTAAATAACGAGATTACAATGTCACAGAGAACCCCACAAAAGAAAACGTAAAGAAAGCTCTCACAGCAGCCAACAGAAAATACAGCACGATCAGCGAGCCGTTGTTGTGACGCACAAAGGGAGGAAGTTTACAATCACTGTGACTGGCATTCCTTAAGCAACACTGCACTTCTAAAACAAGGAGTCCGTACCAGGAGGTTGACTGACTCAATGACGTCCAGGAAGACCTCGTTCTTCCTGTACTTGATGCCCTCTGACCTCCAGGAGACAGCGTTGGTGACTGTGGCGGGGGGGCGTGGGGCGCCGGTGTCTAGCTTGTGCCCCTCCTGGGTTATGTATCTGAGAGACAAAAATGTAAACACTGAGGCAAAATAGAGAAAAGAGGAAATAGACCGTCTGCAGAGGCAAGTTCACAGAAAGCATCAAAGGAGCACAGAGTGTCATGGTCACGAAGGGGAGGATGGTCTGACTTATAGCTAAACTTGGAACAGTTGGGGGAAGTCCAGAGTTAGCTTGCTACATGTCTTCTAAAACCACAGTGTTGTGAGTTCAAACGGTCATTGACAGTACTATATGCTGAGTAAAGTAAGCTCCTCTTGACTTGATGATTTTGCACGCCTCCAGGACCCTGAGGCGGGCAGGGAAGATAGTGGCCGACCCCTCCCCAGTGTGCGAAAAAGTACACGTCCCACCGTCCGGGACATGTTATTTACAATATCGGACAAGTAGATCTGTCAATTGACTTGTCCGGCGGACAAGTGACGTTTATTGACAAATGATTGATACATTCAGTTTACAAAAGGCAGAACTCATTCGCAAATTGTACGTGTCCGCCATTGTTCGTTTAGAAATGTTAGTTTCTGTTCTGCTTGTCGATTCCTACGGAAATGCATCTTGCCGCTTTCTGTACAGTTAGACGGGGGCGGGGCGGGGTGGGAAGTGTAGCACAGTGGCAGGGTTGGGAAGCAAAACTCGGTTCCGAGTAAGAACAAATAACAATTGTCCGGTACCGGGATTAATAAGAGTTGTGAGGACAGGAGGCGAGGCCGAGCCCCGCGGACTGCAGCTCTCTCTATGCTCCGTATCAGCTGATCGCTGCAGCTCAGCGTCTCTCTCTCTCTCTTTCTACACACAGCGGATCCGCTGCCCGATTAACAGCCTCATCTTTGTCAAACTTTCTTATGTTCTTTCTCTAACACCTAATGAAGGTTATTAAGCGTTTTATCTCATGTGTTGTTAATATTGACCGCCATTTCCTTTATGAAGTGAAGCAGCCTCCCTGTCTGTGTCCTCCTCGCGCTGTCCTCACATCCCCGGACCCCCAGACTCGGAGGAGCACAGGGATGTCAGTATTGTTTATGAAGCAGGGTATAGAAAGTACATTATTGAAATGAAAATATTATTTATTTACTTTTACAAACAGTGAGCAGCTGGGCAGCTGCAGCATGTGTATTGCAGGACATGTGTAAGCGTGCAAGCGTCTTTGAGTTGTAGAAAAGCGCTAGGCCTATAGGCTATACATCTAATGTATTATTATTATTATTATTATTATTAGGTTATGTCCTATGTGTTGGACATGTGTGGTTGGACTCTGTCTCACAGGCAGGTTGCAGTGTAACATCAGAAGAGACTGGGCCAATTGTACATTCTCAAACTGCACCACTTAGAACTAACTAAACAATGCATAGATTATTTTTATATAATTGTATTCAATAACTGTAAGAAATTCAACAGTATGAAGTGATTTGTAAATAGGAATACAGATTTGACTTAATGTTTTCATAAATATATTTTTCTCCCAGTTTGACTTATTTTTACCCTCTCAAAGAACCGGAATCGAGAACCGAAAATAACCAGAATCGAAAAGCAGAACCGGAATCGTTAAAATCCAAACGATATCCAACCCTATGTGTGATGCAGTAAAATCTTACCGCTCACTTACGTTAGCGGTGTCGTAAAAAACGTGGGAAAATGTAAAATACGATGACGAAGAAGAAGATTACAGTGGTCCCAATTTTTGTCCATTCTGGACAAGTGAAAAATGTATTCGGACAAGTAAATTGCCAAACTCACTTGTCCATGGACAAGTACTCTCTAAAAACTTTTTCTCACACTGCCTCCCACCCTGGACACAAACTGTTCAACCACCTCTCCTCTGGCAGGAGGCTGCGCTCCATCAGGACCAGAACCTCTCGCCACCTGAACAGTTTCTTCCCCTCCGCTACCGGCCTCTTAAACAAGACCCGGCCCCCCCCACTGACACTTTACCTCAGCCACAACGTAGACTCTATATGCATTACATTAATGCACACAATGTTCAAATACTGCTTACTGCACATATTCTATAATTCACTGCATTCTATTTCGCTGTAAATTACTGCTTTATTGTATTGCTATCTAACTATATTTTATTACAGTGTCCTTAAAGATTTGTTGTTTTATATTTTATGTATGCACCATGATAAGTCAAATTCCTCGTATGTGTGTATGTTCCTACCTGGCAATAAACCTGTTTTTGATTCTGATAATACCACAGCTGAGAAAAGCTGTCTGGAAAAGCTGATTTATTTTGTTGCTTCTTAACTTTGTTAACTAATCAGACATCAATTTGGACTCTTAGGAAGACTCATGAACATTTGTTAGATTTATATACTAGGCAACAATCAACTAAGAATCTCAAGAATGGCAGTATTCATATATATAATATTTATATAATGAGTGTATGTAAAGGTGATTGCAGTGAGGCTATGGCAAAGAAGATACTCACTCCTGCAGGATTTTGCTGTCGGTAGTCTGAGGATAGCCGAAGTCCATCAGCTCATCCATCAGCTCGTATATGATGACAAAGTTATCTCTGATGCTCTCCTCCTCCAATTCTTTGAAATACTCTGAAAATACCTGAAGAACACAAAAGCTATTTTATAATCCTGTTCGACGGCTTTATACGTTTTCTTTGTTATCTAATTCTGATGTGAATGTTGTTGATGGTGTTGATTAAAGCATGCAATCCTACCTGGACAATTTTGTACAAGAAGGAGAAGACCAGCGAGACGCTAGCATTTTTCTTAGATGTTGCAACCACTGTTGTGATGTTAAGAATTTTAGCAACAAATGGTGAAAATCAAAGCAGGGGAGAAAACATAATACCAACTGTTACTTGCTTTGGTCAAATCAGTGTGCAGTGCACCATAAGGATACAGTAGAGGTTATTGTGTTTGATCCACATGAAGCGGACTCCCCCATGGGCCAGGATCGGAGAGAGGGTCCCCTCCTCCTCTTTGTCCATCAGAAGGGTCATGAAGTGCTCGATCTCTGACATGTCCACATCGCCCCGATAATTCCGGCATACCAGGACCTACAATTAAGTTGGAAAACATGTAATTTATGCAGCTTGCAAAAGCAAGATTACTGAATGTTAGAAGCAGATGCAGTAGTTAAAAATTGGACATGCAAGAGAGCACTTCTGGTAGTGCTGAAAACATAAAAACTATTATTGATATAGTTATAATACTGTAATACTGCTAAGATCAAATATATTGTCATGTGAGTTGTGCTCACTAATGAAAAAATCTCACGTTCACATATGAAGTTATATATATATAGTGGTGTAAAGTAATAAGTACATTTACTCAAGTACTGTACTTAAGTACACATTTGAGAGACTTGTACTTCACTTGAGTATGTCTATGTTTTGCTATGTGGTACTTCTACCCTACTACAATTCAGAGGTAAATTGTGTACTTTTACTCCACTACATTCATTTAAAAATGTTAGTTACTTTGCAGATTTGGATATATGTGAAATATAATCAACCCTTAAATCAGACTTCAGTCACACCTGGAGTAAATTCACAAGCTACCCTGCAGTATACAAAGTCATTAAAACTAGCTGCACCTTTACCAGCTTTGAGAACACTTTAATGCATCAATAGTTATAATCCAAACATAAAATATATTATTCTGAAATGGACCAATCTGCATAATGAGCACTTTTACTTTTGGTACTTTAAGTATATTTGAATGCTGATACTTTTGTACTTTTAGTTGAGTAACATTTTGGTTGCAGGACTTCTACTTGTAACAGAGTATTCCTATTATGTGGTAGTTCTACTTTTAATCAAGTACAAGGTCAAGATCTGAGTACTTCTTCCAAAACTGGTGATCAGTTGCCAAAGGGCGATGTTACCAATATAAACACAATCAAATATATTATCATTGTGTTTTCATTCATTTAGACTCTTTAACCTTAAGTCATCCATCATTAGAAAACATGATGGAAAAAGATGACAACATAGATATGTAGACCTTTATGACATTAATAGAAAGGTTATGTTTTTATGTAATAAACCGAAAGAAAAAAGTTAAATCATCAATTTGTCCTTCAAGTGTCTGCTTTGTCTATGATGCTATAGGATGCAAATGTAATGAAAAGCACCGGTTACTTTTACAGTTTTACTCCACTTTAACAGAACTGCAGGTGATGTTAAGCCTGATTCTTATGGCAATAAATGCAAATCGATTAACAACTGTTACGCCGAATTGACCAGAATACAGTCACGGTTGAAAATAAGTTGAAATGATAGAGTAATATGTATGACATGTTTACAATATAAGCAAACATTTGTGAAACCGCTGAATTAGGAAGAGAGTTTGACATCCCCTGCTGCTAACAGCTGGTCACCTGTTTGTTTTCTCATCGCTACGTGGCCTAATATTTTCTGTTAAACCATCACATTCAACAGATCTCTATGTTTAGGTGCAATGTAAAGTCATAAATAAAAGGCCAAACCCTAAACACTGCCTATGAACCTATGCCGATGCAATACCCACTGCTGCAGATCAATACACATCATTATCTGTCAACGAGGAATGTGTTAGCAAAGCTGCTAGCTATGCTAACGACAGGTTAGCAACGTTAGCAGGCTGGACCGTTATCTTACCTTTCCTTTTAAATCCAAGACATACACCGCACTCGCAGACATCTTGAACTAATCTATGCGAGCTTAGTTCAGCTCTTTATTACCGGCTTAATGACAATGTTTGATAATAACTATTTAAGGGCTAAAATCAAAGGACAAGCTTTCATTCATAATACTGAAAAAGGGAAAAGCCACCCTTCCCCGTTTGTCACACCATCAATGGATCTAGCGAGCGCCCCCTGTGGAGCGGGAGGAAGTACTGAAACTGCAATGTATTTATTACATAGACATCTGAATGTATGAATGTATCGGTTTAATGGCAAATATTTTGACAATAAGGCATAAAATAAGACATATAAGTAGTACAATTAGTCCGACTGTCAGTCAGTCACTCAGTCAGTACAATAACAACAGGCTGCATAACATTTACTGTTCTTTTGCTACCATGGCCAACATTAAATTACAGTGACTCAAAGAGGAAAGAGAGCGGGACTGATTTTACCTATACATCCCACTGTCTGTTTTTATTTAATGCCACCAGACATGTTGACCAAGGAGGCACAGGTATGTAGCTACTATGTCTTGTCAATGGCTACATCCTTGTTCTCTGTCAATTACCAATCAGTGAAGCATAAAACTTCACATTGTAGCCTACCATTGTTCTCAGTATTGGTTTTAGTTTTAGTTTGCACTGTTATACAATTTGCCACAGTGCCTTTATACGGTATTTGATATAACTTAATTTAGGAGTTTCAGTGAACTAGTTTATTTATGTTTCATCAAATTGATATGTGAAATAGTTTACAAGTCTGTGGATAATAAATGTACTTGCCAATATGAATCCCACATTTTGATATCGTTATGAATTCTTCAACTTATTTTCTTGGGAGTTATTTCCTGTCGAGAGTGAAGGCTGGGGTTTTGGGACTGGCACCAAGTATAAGGACTTCTGCTTTTAATGTTTGTGGTGAAACAGTAAATAACAACACTTATTCATAATATACTCTAGAATCTAGACCAGTGTTTCTCAAACTTTTTCATTCCAAGGACCACTTAACCAATAAAAAAACACTCGCGGACCACCTAACTCCACAAATATCAAAAAAACACATCGTTTTTCTAGAACAGATTACAAATCGCCTGAAAATGGTACAAACAAGTGGCAACATGTGTGATGAAGGTGTTGCGCTGGGCTATATCATGCAATCGAAAGTGAAACTTAACCTCGCTCCATTGCAGAGATATTCCCGCGAGAGTGCGGAAAACTTAAATGTATTTATTTATTTCAAATGTGAAATGTTACCAATATACTCGCGGACCACTAGGGGGCGCTCACGGACCACCAGTGGTCCGCGGACCACACTTTGAGAAGCACTGATCTAGACTAACAGTTCATCACAAGCATTTGTATAGTGACTTGAGGTCCTGGGTGATGATGGTGCCCAGGAAGCGGAAAGACTCCACAGCAGTGACTGGGAAGCAGAGGTGGGAAGTAGTGGTACAAATACTTCGTTACTGTACTTAAGTAAATTTTTCTGGTACCAGTACTTTACTCTGCTACTTATTTTTCCGACGACTTTTTACTTTAACTTCTTACATTTTTAACACAAATACCTGTGAACAGGTATACAGGTGTACAGTGTAGGAGCAGACGCAATAGTGGTGGCTTAAAGCCCACCTCTGCTCCGCACCGTCCTTTAGATGAGCCTGGTCAGATTGATAAAAGAGGGAGTTCAACACACCGGCATAAAAGTTATAACAATAATCTGATTTTAATGGTAAAAAACACCAATATAAGTTTACAGAGTACTCCGGACTCCCAGTTCTACTGCTGTGCGATACAGGTATCGGGACCAGCCAGTCAGAAACAGGGGGCATTTTGCATGACTACACAACAGTATATATGGATATATTTTGAGGTGGACAGCCACTTCTTATCTTCCACCGGACCCAACTCCTTTAATTTCCCAGGGAAGGTTTCACACAAACTATTCTTTTAAAACAATCAAACATTGTACACAGATATATTGGTGCTTGGGATTATTCCCAGCAAGGAACCTTGAAAAAAGAACATGTGTGTGTGTTAGTGAGGGAAAGTGTATGTGTGTGTGTGTGCATGCTGATAAGCAGAGGCATATGTGTGTGTGTTGCTGACATCTGGGTTAAGGAGTTTATGTGTGTGTGCTGCATGGAGACAGGAGGTGTATGTGTGTGTGTCAGGGTCCCTGGGTCATGGAGTGTAAGTAAGAAGGTTTAGATATATAGGATTACTTTAAACAGTCCCAAATAATACATGTTCACTTCAATACAGTTCAAGATAATACCTGTTTACTTTAATACAGTTTAGAACAATATCTGGGTGCTTTAACAGGTGAACAGCAAACACCAGTGTGATTTTGGTGACAGTACGACTATCTTGGACAGAGACGTTATAGGGGGGGTTCCAAATCCGGAAGCACCAACACCTGGTCTGCCACATGCAAGCCCCTCTTTAGTTTGTCAGCTGCTGAGCCCAGAGCAAAATGCTTTTGTGTGCACAAACTAAAGGGGGACAGCAAACACCAGTGTGATTTTGGTGGGAGTACGACCACCCTGGACAAAGTTATATTGGGGGTGCCAAATCCGGCAGCACAATCGCCTGGTCTGCCACAACTTGTAAATACATTACATTTAAAAAAAGTTTTTGTATAAAACTTGAAAAAAATATTGCTATTAAAAATTTTAAAAAATAATTATACACAAAGGTACAGGACTTGTTATGATGCAAAAGCCTTTAACCTTTAACAGATGTTATTAAAACCACCATGGGAAGTGTTTTTTTATTTTAACATGCTTCATATTGAGGTTAGGACTGCATACCTTCCTCCCGATAGCAAAGGGTATGCCACAAGGTTCCATATTAGGACCGATTCTTTTTACCATATATGTAAATAATCTATGTCATAATTTAGCAAATGCTGTTTACCATTTTTATGCAGATGATGCTGTTATTTATTGTTCCTCCGTTTCTATAGAGCAAAGTCTAGATTTCCTCCAGTCTGCCTTTGATGTCATACAAACCCATTTATATCAACTAAAGTTGGTATTAAATGCTGAAAAATCCAAAGTGATGATATTTTCGAATGGCAAAAAGTTACCATCTATTCTACCCAAGATGTGTACTGCACAAGGGACTGACATTGAGAGGGTCACTACTTACAAATATCTGGGATTTCTTATTGAACAGAACTTGTCTTTCAAGTTACACACGGAAAATGTTGTTTCAAAGCTAAAAATAAAATTAGGTTTCTTTTACAGAAATAAATCCTGTTTCTCTTTTCAGACAAGGAAACATTTGATATCTGCAACGTTTTTACCTGTATTAGATTATGGTGACCTGCTATACATGAATGCCTCTGACCAGTGCCTAAAGAGCTTGGATACTGTGTACCATTGTGCCTTACGATTTATTACTGGATGTGGATATCGAGTACACCATTGCACTTTATATGCTGCTGCTAATTGGCCATCTTTGTCTGCTCACAGACTTTCCCATTGGTTGGGTTTTATTTATAAATCTCTGCTTGGGTTGGTTCCCTCCTACATTTGCACATATATGTGTCAAAGAGAAAGTCTATATGGCTTGCACTCCCAAGATTTTATTCAGATGCTGGTTCCTACAGTGAGAACAAAACTGGGTAAAACAGCTTTTAAATATGCTGCCCCCACAGCTTGGAACAATGTACAGAAGGAGCTGAAACTCTCAGATTTAATCACTATGGGGGAATTCAGGTCCATCTTAAAGGACAGAGAACACGACACCATTGGTCGATGTGAGTGCTCGTATATCCTAAAATCGTTTTAAATGTTGCCAGTTTTGAATGATTTTTAATAGTTTGTTTTACTTCGCATATTGACTGGCTAATGTGCCATTTTATTTGTGTTTTACAGCTGTATTTGTCTGCCTGTCATGTCTGTGTTTTATCTGTTGTAACTTCGTACATGCTGCCCCTCTTGGCCAGGTCACTCTTGGAAAAGAGACTTTTATCTCAATGAGTCTTTTACCTGGTTAAATAAAGGATATATATATATACCTCGTTGGCATACGGACACAGAAATACCTACATGATTAAATGTGAACGTAAATTTAGATTTTTAATTTATAATAATGTGTGTTCTGTTTTATTCTCAACATTTATCTACACTGAACAAAAATATAAACGCAACACTTTTGTTTTTGCTCCCATTTTTCATGAGATGAACTCAAAGATCTAAAACATTTTCTATATACACAAAATAACCATTTCTCTCAAATATTGTTCACAAATCTGAAAAAATCTGTGATAGTGAGCTCTTCTCCTTTGCCGAGATAATCCATCCCACCTCACAGGTGTGGCATATCAAGATGCTGATTAGACAGCATGATTATTGCACAGGTGTGCCTTAGGCTGGCCACAATAAAAGGCCACTCTGAAACGTGCAGTTTTGCTTTATTGGAGGGGTCTGGGGGGGTCCGAAAACCAGTCAGTATCTGGTGTGAGGGGTAGGATTAGGGTTAGGGTTAGGGTAATGTTGTGAATCGAGTGGCCTGTGTTCGTCGTCCAAAACATACGCCTGCCCATACCATAACCCCACCACCACCATGGGCCACTCGATTCACAACATTACCCTAACCCTAATCCTACCCCTCACACCAGATACTGACTGGTTTTCGGACCCCCCCAAATAAAGCAAAACTGCACGTTTTAGAGTGGCCTTTTATTGTGGCCAGCCTAAGGCACACCTGTGCAGTAATCATGCTGTCTAATCAGCATCTTGATATGCCACACCTGTAAGGTGAGATGGATTATCTCGGCAAAGGAGAAGTGCTCACTATCACAGACTTTTTCAGATTTGTGAACAATATTTGAGAGAAATGCTTATTTTGTGTATCAATCAATCAATCAATCAATGTTTATTTATATAGCCCAATATCACAAATGTTACATTTGTCTCAGTGGACTTTACAGTTTGTACAAAATATCAGTATGACAATACGACACCCTCTGTCCTTAGACCCTCACATCGTACAAGGAAAAACTTCCGGAGAAAACCCACAGTTTAAAGGGAAAAATGGGAGAAACCTCAGGGAGAGCAACAGAGGAGGGATCCCTCTCCCAGGACGGACAGACGTGCAATAGATGCCGTGTGTAAATTGAAAAGATAATACATTTGCAACATAGGTAGTCCAAAT